TTTTCCAAAAAGATAAGGACGATAGTACCTTATTCCCCATACGATAGATAATAGTTCTTTTTAAATTACTGAATAATTTACTTCATTAGGGTTTAATGTACGACTTGCGTAAGAAATAGGTTTTCCACACTGACTTAATACTGCTCCAATGGCATATTGACTAGCGTCAGTTGTTAGTGTAAAAATCTTTGTAAAATCGGGATGTGCTAATACAGGTTCATTACATAAAATAGCTTTACAAGTTTCAAATGCTTGAATAAATTGTTGTGAATGAACTACCTTTTGACCTTTTCTAAGACAAAGAGTCATTGGTTTAGTAATTTTAGCTAAGTTATTAATAAATTTTCTATAAAATCCAATCATGCCCAAAAAACTTTTAACTTCTTTGTGAGTTTTTGGTAAAGAGGTTATAACATGACCTAAAAATTCTGTTTCTTTTTTTAAAAATTCACATTTATCTAATTGTAACTTTGAGATTACACTCCTGAAATTTCTTAAAAATTTCTTTCAGATTTAAAATATGTTCATCCAATGTTGTAGAAAAAACTATTACATCATCCATATAAACCAAGCATATTTTATTAATATGATCTTTTAAGACTTCATTAATCATTCTCTGAAACGTTGCTGGCGCATTTTTTAAGCCAAAAGGCACTCTTAGAAATTCAAAATGCCCAAGTTCAGTTAAAAAAAGCAGTTTTTTCAATACTATCTTCGTGCATATTATTTTGATGAAAGCCACTAGCTAGATCCAACGTAGTGAAATACTGGCATTTGCCAAGTTTGTCTAGCAGGTCATCAATATTTGGGATTGGGAATCTGTCTTGGACAGTTTTACTGTTCAAACGGCGGTAATCAATGACCACTCGATATTTATCAATGCTACTGGCATCAAGACGTTTTTTTACAATCCAGACATTACTCTTGTAAATTCCAATTAAATCCCATATTTCTTAGGTATCTAAAACTGATAAGTCCATCAAAGAATGGATGAAAATCAAACAATGTGAAAATTATTTTTTCTTTAGTTTGAAATTCGTTAAAAGCAGAAATATGTGCTTCATATTTAGCTATTTGTTCGCCACAAGAAGTTTTTATAACATTTGGCTTAAATATTATAGAATTTGCATAATACTGTTTAGCTATATAAGGATTTAATAAGGATATATGGCTACCAGAATCTAAAAGCATATTGAGAGGTTTTTCAAAACCAATTATTTTAACATTAGGAAGAGTACGAGTATCTATATTATGTAATTCTAAGTATTTTCCTTTCCAGAGGCTGGAGGGATAAAATTTTGATGTTGGTCCTGGTGTTCATAATCAGAAAATGTCTCATTATCATTGAGCAAAACATTTTGGTTTGATGTACTAGGACTATCATCATTTATATTGAATAATTCTTCAGAATTGAAAGTTTCAAATTATTTAATTCACTTAAAAGACAAGTAAAAGACCTTTGATCACTAAATGAGATTTTTAAAACATCTTTTATTGCTTCCCAATTATTTAACTCAGATCTACTTGAAATTAATTTTAGAGCTTGACCCTTTAGTTTACTAATTATATTTTTAAGAAGCATCTTCTTTATTAAATTGGTAGCATTGGCATAGAAGGTAAAGACATCACAAGTATCTATAAAGTTATTGAGTTGATTCGGTTCTCCATCAAAATTTGGAATAGTATGTAGAAAAAAATTCATTTCTTGGTAATTAAATTACTCACCCATATTTTCTATTTTAATAGCCGAAACTTCTTTAAGATCAGATAAATAACTTTCACTACTACTATCTGTTCCTTGATCTACCCTACTTTTAGATTGTTTTCTAAAGTTTTTATTCTTTTTAACAGTATTCTTTAAACTTTTAATCATTAATATTGATTAAACTATTTTTAATTGATAGATTAATTGACTTTGATCAAACCAAAAGGAATATTAAAATAATAAAAAAGGAAAATGAGAGAAATTTCTCACCTTGATATCTAATATAACGATCCTCCTGTCTAGACTCGATCCGCAGCTTACTTGAAGTCAAAATCTCGCCCGCAGTTTGGATATGTAGTTTCTTTATTTTTCAATACCCTGGACAGGATCCGCAGCTTCTTGAAGTCAAAACCTGGCAAATGGTTCAGATCCGCAGCTTCCTTGAAGTCAAAATCTTGCCCGGTAACGTGTAGTTGTACTTTGATTGAAGCACTAATTTTCACAAAAAAAAATAGGACAGAGTTGTTCAGTCTCTGTATCAATATATATTGTTTTTAACAGTTTTTTTTATCACAAATTTTTCCGAAAGAGTTTCAATAATATTTCCGAAACGAAAAATGTTCACTTGAGGTAAGTCCCGTTAAAGGTTTAAAAATCACCAATTCGCGTAGGCACTATCCACTAGGGCACTATGTCTTACTTCTTGTATAGGACTATCCTACTGACTGCGCCAATTATATATATTTTTAAGGTTTTTGGTTAATTATTTTGAATAACTCCTAAACTAGAGAACAACTTTATTCTAGAATAGCAGGTTACAAAATAAGAACGTGATATCAACGTACATTAAGCTTTTATAATAATACGTTGGAAAAATACTAAGATATAAAAGATAAATGCTGGTAAAAATACGACTTAGTAATATTAATAGATATGTTATGATAAAAATAATATTCAACAAAATATCAGTCTTTATCTAATAATAATGACGAACCGAGCGATACCGAATATACAGCGAGCTGACCGTACAAGACATAGCCTAGAATCAAATAATCTGACGATTGGAATGACAAGTAGCAAATACTCGAACATATGATTTGCAAATATAAACAACCTAATATGTTATGGAGTTTATACGAAATAATATTTATTACATTAAGGTAATTTGGATATAAATAAAACAAAATGAAAGGCTATTAATAAAGAAGTCCGCTAATTATAACAAAATAAGAATTATATTATATACGAGGTATGTTTCAAAACTAGTAACTACATTTTATGAAAAACATTACTTAAAAATAAAAACGTAATAATGTTAAAACGGCCAAGCAAAAGAATATTTTAACGGGAAAACAAATCGTCCCCATCTTTAAATGAAGTCCGGAAACTAACGAAATTTTGTTTATATAATTTTATCAGAACTTCTGTTAAGTTTGCAGTGGCGTTGTTAATTTGATACTATTTAGATTCTTGTAACACTTCTGGTTTTAATCATTACAGTTTAACTATTTCGACTATCTTATTAGTTTTATTTTAACAGAATATGATTGTATATTTTTTCGTAAAAGCTAATCATTGTTGTAAAATAAACAATAGTTTATTTAATATTAATAATGTATAATTTAGTTGAACATAAAAATAATATAAATGTTACAATACTCTATCAAATCGTTGTCAAAAGCTAATAGAAATGTGCTATTATCTCTTTTAAAAATAACTAAACATTTGATAAAATTCTATAGCCTGGGGCCTATTTCATAAAACTTATTAGTCTAATAATATTGGCTATTATTATTTTATTAGTAAGAAATATTAATTTTAGTTTTATATTATTTTTAGATAATAAAATTAGTTATTAGTAAACTTACTCTTAATATTAGTTTATTATATTTGTAAAATTTGAAGTATGTTTCATAGTTAAAGTAAACAAATAATTTTATATAATAAATAACTACTAATATTATTACTTAATTTGCACTGATATTATATGTGACATATTTTATTTGAAATTTATGGATTCAGATTCAAGTGACGATGAAATTAGAATTGTAGTTAGACGACCGAGAATTTTCAGAGAGAGAATTTCATATTATGTACATTTAGAAGAAACCTACGAATTCAATGAAATGTTTAGGTTACCTACTGGAAGTTTTAATATAATACTGCAACGGATAGAACATCTTTTATCTTCTGATACTCAAAGAAATCCTGCGCTTACAGCCAAGCAGCAATTGATAACTGCACTACATTGGCTTGGAAGTGAGATGCAGTGCCATGGTGTTGCAGATATGCATGTTATTAGTAAAGCTACTGTATGCAGAGTTGTTCACAGAGTTGTTACAGTAATTAATCAAATTTTAATAAACGAAACAGTTTGTTGGCCAGTGGATGTGGCTGAAGTAATTCATGGGTTTAGTGAAATGGAATGCCCCTTGTGTGTGGAGCAGTGGACGGGACTTTAATTAACATTGATGCTCCTATTCAATATGAGCCTGGTTTTGTGGATCGTCATGGTAATAATTCATTGAACGTGATGCTTGTATGTAGTCCAACAATGAAATTTTATTATGTAAATGCCAATTGGCCTGGTAGCGTAAGCGATGCACGAGTTTGGAGGCGAAGTACACTTAGCATCAGAATCGAAGATGGTTGGAGACCTTTTCCAACTGAAGTACTGTTAGGTGATTCAATTTATCCTTTAAAGCCTTGGATTATACCACCTGTACTTCGTAATGCAGAAGATCCTGCACAACAAAGATTTTTAAGAGCACACAAATGTACAAGGCGAGTTATTGAATGTGCCATTGGTATTTTGAAAGAAAAATTTCCATGCTTCAAGCATTTAAGATTAAAACCTAGATTTGCCTGCGAGGTAATAAAATGTTGCGTTGTACTCTGCAATTTAACAAAAGTAGATGTTGAGAGGTATAATAATAGAGAATAAAATGATATTAACATTGATATGGTAGACGCCGGCGAACAATTAGCTAGAGAAGCAGGTGGCGAGGAAACATTACATTACTTTTATAATCACTTTCGGAATGCCTGAAATAATATCTATAAATGTAAAGAAACCATTTTATTTTTCAGCATAGTGGAAAATTTATTTTGTATATACTTTTTGTTCTGCAAAATAACAAATTGGTAGGCATTTGAAAAGTAGCTACTTATTAAACTTTCATCAGTTATAGTAATAAAATTAATAAAAGTGTAACATACGTTTTATTATAATGCTTTTAAAGATATTAAAATATCATTATTTTTCTTTAAAATAAATAAACTGCCCTTCGTCCAATCAGTATAATTTACAATCATAACCACTGATATAGTTGGAGAATTCAATATTCATAGTATGAACAAAATGTTTAACATTAAGTGAGCATTCTTTTTCCCAAACTTCCAGTTCCAACTTCCGAACCTCAAGCTGAAGTTTCTTTATTTTAAGAGATTGAATGTTCTTATCATCATCTGGTTGCTGAACGATAACTCTTTTCTTACCTACAAAAATAATATATGTAATCATATGAATTAGAAACTAGGTTGACTTGTTTTGAAATAATTTTAGTCACTTTATAGTCTTACCTCTACATGAACTTTGTTGAAGCGAGCACTTGATTTTTGTGGTGCCATTATCATCGTTTTCATTGGGCATAGACTAACAAAGTCCTCGGTAATCTCTTTAACTTCGAAAACAGTTTCGATTGAATCGGGTACGCCAATTCCTTGAACAACAGGAGATTCCTTTCCAATCATTTCTATCACTAGTTTACCAGTGTCACCTAATTTTGATTCGGTACCTCCTTGTGCGCCAGTTTTATTTGATTGGTCAATTTTGTCTGCAATCAAATAAAAATCTTTTATATGCTTTACAAGTGAGGACGGCTCAATAGTAAAATTAAAAACTATTAGCATTAATTACACAGGATGCAAAAAATATTTTTAAATTGTCCAAATAACTGATTTATAGTGTATTTTTAGTGCTGATTTCAAAAACAAAATTTATTTTTTCGGCCACCTCAGAATATCTCACAAGAATGGTATATTTTGGGTAAAAAACTAAATTTTACGCTAAAGCTTTTAAATTTTAATATTCAGATAAAATATGGCATGGTTTACATATTATACACAACAGAATATTGAAAAAATGCATAACTATAAAGGCTAAAGTGCTTGTAAAATATAACAGCTTCTTTGAAAATATTTGCAAATACTTTTAAATATTTTCCCATAATCAGTACTAAAAATTTTATAAAAATTACTGATTACATTTGAGATCATTTTTTTGTTGCAGACCTGTGTTACAAAAAATTAAAAAAAAATTATCTGAAGTTTTTCAGTACTAAACGGTATAATACACCTTAGGCTCTAATGTTTATTACAATGTTTCCATTATTTAGACACACCAATGTTGAATAAGCTTTGTTAAAGCATTATGTATTAAAAACTAATTCTTAAATGTGGCGATATATCTCATAGAATGCAATTGAAATACAATTAAAGTAAATAATTGCATTTATGTAGTCGTGTTATAAATAAAAATAACACCATTGTTCTGGACCTTAGGTTAGGCCAAGTTGCATCGCGTACATAACAAAACTCTTTGTCGCTTCCTATTAGACCTATTGAAACAGCATAATCTCTTACATTTATCCATACTGTTTTCCGTGACTCTTTGGTAATAATAGTAGAAAACTGACCAAGAAGTTAATTCTTTAATTCTAATATTTTTCTTAAAAAGTTTTGATTTTTCATTTTCTTTTCTTCACTTTTGCCTAATTTAGGCATCTTTTATTTCAATAAGAATATCATATCATAATTAAAAAATACTACTTTTTGACATATCAACTAAACTTCAATAAGGACACTAGGTCTAGTAGGTAGCTGCCGTGCTGCTAATATATTAGAAAAGATTCTGTCACTAATAATATGTGTAAATTAAAATAATCTGTGAAACAGAAAACAGCCAACTTATATTAGTCTAATATTATTTACTACTAATATAAGTCATTTTTATGAAATAGACCCCTGAACAAAATATTTATTATTAGTCTGATGTTTACCTTATTATATAAATCTAACTCGTTAGTATTAATGAAAGTCAACTATTATATTAGCGATTTTTTAGTGTAATGATTATAAATTTATGGTAAATCAATAAAACGCATTATTTAAAACGTTAACGAAACTTGTTTTGTTAATAGAGCATATTTAATGTTTTGAGTGAAAATAATGAAATTGGTCCATAATTTAGCCGCGAACTGTAGTAATACATGCAACACCAATTCGGGAGACAGTGTATATACCCTTTAGTAGTGCCGCATTAAAATTATTATTCTTTTTGTTTTAGTTTTCAGGTTGCCTAGAAAAAAACCTGTTCAACGTCCAGTTTGGAAGATGCTACGAAACTTGTTTCTATTGCGGCCAGTTTTTTCTTACTAAGTCACAGTTTTTGTACCATTTTATTGTTGTTCATTATGTGAAGAAAGTAGCAGAAGTTTGTAAGCGAAAATATGGACAACATAAACATTGTCGGTGTAAAAATGGTGTACACACTATAGTCAGACATCCACCTGCAGCAAACATTATATTACACTCAAATAAAAAACTATTGCAGTGTGAGATCTGTTCTAAAATATTTCCAAGCGAAAGAAATTTAAATAATCATTCGAAAATACACACTAGTAATTTTTTTTAAATGTCAAATATGTTTGAAACAGTTTGGCAATAAAATAATTTGAAAATGCATTTAAAAACACATTGGAAAAAACCGGTCAAATGTGAAATATGTTTGAAACAGTTTACAGAGAAAAGTTATTTAAAATCGCACTTAAAAATTCACACTAGAGAAAATCTTTTCAAGTGTGAAATATGTTCTAAACAGTTTATCCGGAAAGGCGATTTAAATATGCATTTAAGAATTCACACTGGAGAAAAACCGTTTAAGTGCGAAATATGTTCGAAACAGTTTATCCGAAAAGGCGATTTAAATATGCATTTAAAAATTCACACTGGAGAAAGTCCGTTCAAGTGCGAAATATGTTCGAGACAGTTTATCGAGAAAGGCGCTTTAAAAAGGCACCTAAAAATTCATACTGGAGAAAAACTGTTCGAATGTGAAATATGTTCAAAACAGTTTGTACGGAAAGATATATTGGAAAGACATTTAAAATTTCACACAGGAGAAAAATCGTTCACATGTGAAATTTGTTCGAAACAGTTTATCCAGAAAAGCAATTTAAATAAGCACTCAAAAATTCATTCAAGAGAAAAATTGTTCAAGTGTGAAATATGTTCGAAACAGTTTACACTGAAAGACATATTGGAAAGACATTTAAAATTTCACAAAGGAGAAAAACCGTTCATATGTGAAATTTGTTCTAAACAGTTTATCCAGAAAAGCGATATAAATAAGCACTCAAAAATTCATTCAAGAAAAAAGTCGTTCATTTAAAACTTCACACAGGAGAAAAACCGTTCACATGTGAAATTTGTTCGGAACAGTTTATCCAGAATAGCGATTAAAATAAGCACTCAAAAATTCATTCAGGAGAAAAATCGTTCAAGTGTAAAATATGTACAAAAATTGTTTATAAAGAAATAGCCCTGACCCTACAAGTATTGCGCATAGAGAAATTATTTCACGGTATACAAATCTAGGTCCGAGAAACCCAAATTATATTTCAAACTTAGTACCGATTAATAGTTCACAGTCAGACAGAACACCAGAAATAGAACATAATCTAGTAAAAATAATTTTAGAATTAGTAACTAATATTTTACAGACAATTAGAGAAACAAATAACTTTAATGTATCATTTAATGACTTAAAACAAATAATTAGTACACAATTAAATGTAAATATTTCTAAACGTTCTGAAAATTTACCAAATTCGCAGAAATAGACGGGAAATTCAAGATTTTGCAGTGGAACTGCCGATCGGCGGTTTCCAACAAAGGAAATCTTGAATATCTTCTCTATAAAAACAATGCAACCCTTGCACTTTTATCAGAAACTTGGTTCAAGCCAGGTATATAATATAACTTTAGAGGATTCAATACAATCCGTGCAGACCGTAATGACGGATACGGCGGCGTAGCAATATTAATTAAAACAAATATTTTATACAACGTGGTACAAATACAAACACCCGTAGGTGTCGAATGCACTTGTATTTCGATCAAATCATTACCTAATAATAGAACCCTGATAGAATTGCAAGATTGGATAAATTTCTTAGATAATATCCCGAAACCATTTTTACTAACTGGCGACTTTAATGCCCACAGCCTTGCCTGGGGATGCGATTCTAACGATATCTACGGGAACACATTATCCCAAGCACTTAACCCATTGAATCTCATATATTTAAATGACGGTTCTCCAACCCTTGTGACTCTGGGCAGTAAAGTTGCGATTGATTTATCAATATGTACCCAAGATATTACACACTATTTCTCATGGGCAGTCGTAAATGATCCACATAGATCAAATCATCTACTCATCATTATGAACTTCACCACAACAAATTCCTACAAAAGCTCGATAAATACAAACCATAACATCTGGTCATTAAAAAAGCCGACTGGAATGAATATTACTCAACACTGGAAATCAGAATAGTTGCAAATAACTACAATGAACTAATTGACAACATAAATGCAGCAGCACAAAATGCAATTCCAAGGAAAAGAACAAGCATTAACATCCATTAAAATCAACTTCCAAAACCCAGGTAGAACGACGCGTGTAACACTGCAGCTGAGAAACGACAAGAAGCATTTAGAATATATAAATCTAATCCGAACAGTGCAAATTTAATTGATTATAAACGACTCGATGCAATCGCAAAGAGAACTTTTAAACAATACGAGAAAAATGGATCAAATATTGCGAGAAATTAAACCAAAACACACCTATTATAGAAGTATGGAAAAAACTAAACAGCTTTAAAAATATAAAACAACAAAATAATCCTCCGACTGACCCAGAATCCACGTGGATAGAAGAATTCCATGCAAAAATCTCACCAGACTGGGTACCTCAAATGAACCAGCACAGCTTTAACTGTGTACTTAGCAATAATATACACCTTTTTAAATCATTTAGCAGCTGGGAATTAGAACGATCTTTGAAACAATCAAACAACACCTCTCCAGGTAAAAACAACATATCTTACTCTATGATTGCAAATTTTTCTAACGAACACAAAGAATCACTTTTAAATATATATAATTCCATTTGGAGTGGAGGATACCGGAAAATTGGAAAGAATACATTGTTTTGCCAATAAAAAACCTGGAAAATCTCATACCGCCCCATAGCACCGGCATTATGCATTCTGAAAACCCTGGAACGTCTAATAAAAAACCGTCTTGAGCACTGGCTGGAAAGAGAAAAGATAATTCCTGAATCACAATATGGATTTCGAAAATCTAGAGCTACGCTCGAAGCTATTACAGCACTAATATCAGATATCCAGACAAATTTCACATTTAAACCTGGACGTATTATATTCAAAAATGATATCTATTGGCATACCAGCAAAACTATGTCTATTTATAAACTCAATGTATTCGAATAGACGAATATACTTATAAATTAATCAAGAGCTAACCACATCAAGAAACTCAAGTGTAGGACATTCTTAAGGTAGTATATTATATGGCCCAAAGGTGTCATCGTAAAGAAATTTCAATTTCGAAACACTGGATACCAAGACCGAGAATTTTAATTTTAATTCGTACCAGAATCAATATTTTCTTAAAATTATATGTGTTAACACTCAATGTATTACAAATAAAATTGAACAGTTTGAGTTATTAATTCAAGAATACAAACCGCACATTCTGTGTGTTTCAGAAACTTGGTGTTTAGAGTCCAATTATACATGTATTTTAAAATAGCTGAGTAC